TATATATATATATATACAGTTATTCTCTTATCCGGATGTCCGCACGTTATTATCGTGCGGATCCTATTGTAAACAGGCAGGAAAACAGAGAGTGGTAGTACAAAATACACTGCGTCCACACGATAATAACGTCCGGATGTCCACATAAGAGAATTTCTGTATATATATATTCTCTTGATATTTCAGAAATTCATGTTAATGTACCAAGACACATATGATCACCAAATTTTACATTTAAAAATGACGCAACGACATCATGGTTTTCTTTCTGTTAACAAACAATACTGAGGGAGTTAGAATTCGAACACATTACCTCATGTGCCGAGGTAAACATTGGACAACATAATTTTACAAATCGGAATTACTTTCCTTATAAAATGGGGAGATAATTCCCAAGTTAATGTATTAACTCAACTAAATGACCCACCCATCCCTTTCGGATTTAGGCCTAGTATCCCAGCCCACCCCAATTTTGTAGTCAGCCTCCACTCCACCATTGGTCCAATAGGTTTGAAGAGATTAGGCCTTCGATGGATTTTGAGGCTTATTATTGCTGTATCTGCAAGGGGGTTATGGATTTGGAGGATGAGCATGTTGATAGGGTTTCAATCCCACTATCCAATATTAGAGTTCGAACAACATAACCCCTTTGCTCTCCTTTGCACCAATAAGACAGAAAAAATTGAGTTGAGCAGCCAACCTGATGATTTATAAGTATTTTATTAAAACCTAACATTAATCTGACTTCACACGGGCACTGAGGAGTTTAAAAATCTAGGGTTTTTTAGAAGCACTTTCACCCCAAAGGATAAGGGTAAGGCAAGGTCTGTCGCTATTTACGTGAATAGTGACAGCTCTTGCTTATTTTGTTTCCATCCCTGCCCAAGGGCAATTACTATTCACTTTAATATATTTTCTATTTTTTATACTTAAATGATTAATTTTAATAAGATTTTCAGTTGTCACGTGTCACTATTTATTATAAAATTCTCATCTAAAATTTTAGATTAAATTTTCAGATTAAATTTTCGGATAAGATTTTCGGTTGCCACGTGTCCATATTTATTATAACATTCAAATCTCAAATTTCAAATAAGATTCTCGGTTACCACGTGTCCATATTTATTATAAAATTCTAATCTCATATTTTAGATAAGATTTTCACTCTCTAAAATTGCGCCATGTGTCATCTTTATCTACTAAATCCCTCTATAAAACTACACCCTCAACTCAGACTTATTGCACCATATCTTCTCTATCCTTTCATTTCTCAGATTTTATAAAACACATTTTACTCTCAATGTCTAACCTGAGGAGGGTGTTGGAGAGGCAACAACGAGAAGATGAAGAAATCAGGCGCATATGTGCTGAGGAAGATCGTGAGTTGGATGAAGAGGAGGATGAAGTTGTTTTAGTAGTCCGAAGGCAAGGAGACGGGCCAGATCTCCCTTTGGGCTTGCCCAAGCTCGTGGGTCTCACGCCTTGCCACGACTGGATCTTGAGCGCTGGAGTCTCGTTATGGGCCTAGGGCCCCCTCCTGCCTAGGCTAGCCCCTGGCAGTGGAAATGCTTTAATGGAACTTGTTTCTAAATTTTAAAAGAAAAGTTTTATTTTAAAAATATATATATATATATCACTGTGAAACTGTGAAAAGACAATAAATACACAATACTTAAAACTTAAATGCAGTCTATCTCTTTGCACACCCACCACCAACCCTTAATACAACTCATCATATAATAAACTTTCGAAGGTTCGATAGTGGGGAATTACAATGATATCAAGAAAATCTCGTATATCTTGAAGATATGAGGTAAGAAATTGCTCTACACTTCTGGTGTGTTTACTAATCAAGAATTGAAATTCTCATTGGGAATTGAATTCTACCTATGTAGGATTCTTACGTTTACTTCACATCAAATAATAAAAAAGTAAGTAGAGTCCACACAAAATTAGGAATTGAATTCCTGATTTTGGAGAAATTCAATTCTTGGATGGGAGATAGTACTCTAATTCATGGAAAACTAACTCATTAAGAATTCATCTTTTTTATCCATTATATCCTCACACAATTTTAAAATTTCCAAATTTGACATATACCTTAACCCAACAACGAGAACATTTTAGTAATTAGTACCACTCCTACCCCAATTCCATATGTTTTAGTAAACAACTTCAATATCTAACTCTCCCCAATTCATATGGTTTAGTAAACAACTTCAATAGGAATCCAAAATTTAATTTTCTTCAATCCAACTCCTCTTCAATTCAATTTCTCCTAATCCAATTACGGATTAGTAAACATGCCATTAGTATCATTATCCGCATTTCAAAAAATAAAAAATATTCATAAATTGATTTGATAGTGAATTACATATTATTTTTTAATAACTTATGGCAATTATATTTATTCCATTATTTTCCCAGTATTAATTGTGGTAGTGATTCATTGGAGTCTGTTGTGGAGTCTAATAAATTGGTGTGATTGTTTGTAAAATTGTGATAGTGAATTACTTAATAATGTTTGACAAAAAAAAATTACTTAATAATGTATTGCAATTATATTTATTCTATTATTTTTCATTGTGACACTCACATGCATTAATAATCAGAAAAATTCTTATATTTTCAATACCATCAATATTTTAGACTTTGCATGCGACTGATATTAGCACTCCCAGCCATAGACACACCGATACCTCGATAGATATTTTCATCACTAACTATTCGAAACAGATACAGTGTGAGTGAGAGAAGAATCTCAAAGGCTGATCACAAAACTCAACTTTCTTGTTACAACTCAAGAGAAGGACGATATGAAAGGCTGCACCTGCATCATCATCAATCATCGTGTTTCGCGTTGCGTTACTGGTTGGCCCGTGAGGAGTCAGATGTCATTTTCCCTTTTTCTACAGCCAATTACCAATTTCAACGTCGAGTTTTTATTGGGTTAATAATATTTAACGAATTTTATGGGCATTATGAAGGCAATAATGGGATTTAGAATAGATGAGGTGGTCGAAGTGTCTTGCGGTGGGTTCCCACATCCATCCAGCACCGTCGTTAATCACAAGCATCATCACTTATGACACATACCGCGTTGTCATTTTCTTATTAAACTAATTACTCGCTTTCTTTTTCGTTGTTAATCGATTGTGTTTGGTGAGCAAAGCAAACATACTCGACAATAGGAGTCTCATTCATTTGTCAAGCAAAGCATATGGAGTTTCCTTACCTCATGAAGTTAGAGTGTAGTCTTTTTCAACATTATAAGAATCGAACTTTTATCGTAAGTGCGGAGAACAAATACTTTATCATTGGAGTTAGAAGCTCTACCATTTAATTTGGTAATAAAACGATAGATGTGATTTTATTTTCACGAGGGTCCAAATCGTGAATAATGTCCTCTAGCGTGGGAAGCCTGAAAGCATCAAATTATCAATGTCCGTAACTTTTTGGACTCTAGGTTTCTAATTAGGAGATATCTAGCTCAACATCAAATTTATTTGGAATCTTTGAGAAGCATATATGGTGTCCTTAGTGCTATATGCATCACTCTTTTTATTTTATTTTATTTTATATATAAAAAGGAAATTTCATTATTAGGAAAACTCTATTGCGTCCATGGTGGGTTGGATATTAGAGGATATACAGCCAGCTAGGCTCACCCAATTGTCCGTAAATAGGTGTGTGGATACAAAATCATGGGTGTGTAGATAAGATAAGCTCACCCATTTGTTATGCTAAAAGTGACTTTGTGCAAAGACAACTCATTTGATACCCTAATTTAACACTAGTTGACGTACGTATAGTTGGGTGTGCCTATCTAATTCCGTATGAAATTGGTGTTTCAGAAATGGGACTTTCTTCTTCCAATCACTAATTTACTCAGCACACCCCCTAAATATTAGATATTCTTTCATTTTATGCTTAGGGTGTGAGATATTAAAATGGAAAAGACAGGAAGAATTTGACCCAGTGTAAATGAAAACCAAACACCAACAACAATACATATGTTTATATGGACGGTTCACACTTCACACGGAATTTGACAGTAGCTTTAGATAAAGATCCACTTCCACCATCACCGGGGTACCTTCTGGTATAAAAAAATCTGCCACCTTTTCCACATGCAATTGGATGAAGTTTCTGAGCGAGATGGACTCGTATGCGGTGTTCTTCCGAAGTTACTAAAATGCCCTTCTACTTACTTTAATTAAAGTTCCACTTCAGCATACTAGAACTCTCTGAATTACATTGCATACGTGTGTTAGGTCAATTAGTTTAATGTAGTAAGTTCAACCTCTTTACGCTCAAGTTCGAGTTCTCCTTATATAAAATAAAAATCTTTGAATTAAATTATGATAAAAATAATTTTAATCAGATTATCAAAACGTGAAAAACATTTGTCTCAGAAAACGAGTGAGTGTAGTTTCGTCCACAAAAATTGCTACCTGCTAGTGTTGGGAGGAGCATAATTTGTGATCGACGTGTAGGCCCACAGACGTACCGCGGTAATGCATAATAATAACTGAGTTTCTCTCTCTCTCTCTCTCGGTCTGAGTCATCACAGTCTTTCGCCTATCTCATCTTTCTAATCCACGTCCATATTATTATTGTATTTCATCGGGTAAATATATAAATAAACTTATCCTATCACTACTCTCCACGTGTCCTTGCCCCATTTCCCTCCCTATATGCGTATATAAATGCCTCACCGGTCCTCATTTTCCACGCCCTCCCCTTTGTCACATTGCATTTCACGTTTTTCACAAAACCCCCCAATCTTCTTCTTCTTCGCTCTCTTTGCCTTCGAAATTCGGTTACAGCTCTCAGCTCTTCTTTCCGTCTCTCTCTTTCTCTCTCTGAGCCTGCCATGGATTCCTGCAGTTCCTCTGTTCGCGATTCTTCTTCTCCTTTTGATTGCCTCATCTTCGGTACGCGCAGCTTTCTCGCACAATTCCAGAATCCTTAACTCATTATCAAGCTCTTAATTAAATCTTGGATGATATGATCGATTAATTGTAGCTTAATTTGCTTAATTTTGTACAGATTTGGACGACACTCTGTACCCTTCCAACACTGGATTAGGTGAAGCTTGCAAGACGAACATCGATGGTGCGAGAAATCAAACCTTCACTTTCTTCAAAACACAAAACTTAACAATGAATAATTTTTTTATCCAAGATTAAATTAATTTGTATTTTGAAATGCAGATTTTTTAGTTGAGAAATGCGGGTTCCTGGAGAGCAAAGCCTCCAGTCTTCGAGTTGAGCTTTTCAAAAGCTACGGCAGCACCCTCGCCGGCTTACGTGTAATAATTCATCATCATTATTTTCTTTTAAAATGTGTTTTTTTTTTACCGCAAAATAATTTATTTCCCTCTTTCATTTTTCAAAAATTAATTTTTTGTTGCTTGCTTTTGTGCTGTAGGCGTTAGGCTACGACATCAACGCGGACGATTACCACAGTGTCGTGCACGGAAGGTTGCCGTACGATCGGATCAAGCCCGATCCTCAACTCGGAAACCTCCTCCGTAGCATCGCACAGAGAAAAATCGTAAGCGCTAAAATCACAAAAAACAAAATTTTAATTAAAGAAAAAGAAACTAATTGATTAATTTGAATTTGTTGCAGATATTTACGAATTCGGATCGGAAGCACGCGGTGAAGGCGTTGGATCGTCTGGGAGTGAGAGACTGCTTCGAGCAGATCATATGCTTCGAGACGATGAACCCGAACCTGCCGAGTTCGACTCGGCCTGACGAGTTTCCGGTGGTTCTGAAGCCGTCCATGGAGGCCATGGAGATCGCGCTCCGGGTCTCCGAGGTGGATCCTCGTCGTACGGTAAGGCCACGAAGCACGCTATAATTTCTTATTCGGTTGTCAATTTGGAGTTAGTTGTGATTAGTTTAATTGATTTTTTAGGCGGTTGGGGGGGTATGAACTGAGAAGTTGAAAGATTTGATTTTGATTTGACGACGCGTTTTTGTCTTTTTTCGTGTTGCAGCTGTTTCTCGATGACAATGTCCGTAACGTCGCTGCCGGGAAAGCCGTGGGTCTACGCACCGTTTTGGAAATTAACTGATTTTTAAATTTTGTTACTCTTGTAAATATTTGTACATTATTTTGAAAGAGTGTATCATACCAGCGCATAATAGTCTCCCTGTAATTGCGCCCGCCAGCCACCATTGAAGTGGTTTCGTGTCCGGAATAAAGAGCTAAAGTGGGGTGGGAAAAGTAAAAATGATTTTAGATAGTTTTAACTCGAATATTACTTAAAAGAATATGTTTGAGTTGTGACACATGATATAACAGATGGTTCTACCGAGAATAAACTTTGATAAGAATCAATCAGTCATCGTCCTTATCATGAGACGCTGTCGTTACTAAAAATACTCCACCTAATTAACTTGCAATGCAAGGTTGTGTTAAAATGGTCAATTTGGTACTAATTCACATCATCTTTTGGAATGAAGGTTGGAAAAACTGTGAAAAGCAAAGAAGCAGATTACGTGTTAGAGAACGTGAACAACCTGGCACAAGCAGTTTCAGAAGTATGGGTAGGCGGAAAAGATGGTGGTAGTAACAAAAGGATCAGCCGCACCAGAAGCGACATTGAGGTCGATCTCACAACCACAGCTGTTGGAGCTTGACCGAGTTGACTCACCTTTCCACCTTCCAGATGTTTTTGCTCGCTGGCTGGCTCGTGTTGGCTTTGGGTTAGGTTTGGGCTTGGGGTTTGGGTTGGACCCACTGTATATGTACATATTTTTCTTAATTATGTCAATATTGCATAATAGGGAGTGCATAATATGTTAATATGTATGGGTATGGGTTGTGCATATAATCCAAAAAGTGTATCTATGCAATGTACCAATAAATAATAGTGTTATTTTAAGCAAAGAAAGTGATGCTTCCTTGCTTTTGTTATTGAAATCTTTCAACTTTAAAATAAGAACGTTGGTGATTCGATCGTTACTTATATAAGTATTTTTTTGATTCCGTTCATATGGTTATATGTAAGCTTTCATTTAACTTTTGTGCTTCCTCAAAAGGAGGGTATCTAGCTGATAGACTCGCAGCATCAAACTTGTCATCTTGATTTAAATTATGTTATAGAGACATTATATTATTATTGTTATTGTTTGATGAAAGGTGTATTATTATTTGGATAGTGATCCTTGGACAACTTCATATTATATAAATCACGGATTTGGGAATGTTGCTATCACATTATATTATTTGGGTCTATCACATCATATATTGTTGGTTGCTAGAACAACAAAAATAAGTAATAATTCTTGGCATAACTTTATATAAACAAACATTTCATCATCATCGACTTCGAGATAGCTACCCATATTTCTCATTAAAAATACTTGTCACTTTTTTTTAATGGTTAGTTCCTACTAGGCTACAATGAAGTTACCTTACTTTACATCTTGAAAGCTATGGATAAATTCTAAAAATACAAAATGAAATTTCATTAAAAACTAGTTATAAAAATGATTTTTTTTTCCTTGTTAATTTGTAAAATGATTATTTTCTATGAAAACATATATAAATTTTGATTTTTGTTCAACCCAATGGGCTTATGTGATCTCTCGTTGAGCCCTCGGCCTTTAAAAACAGAAATTATGCAAGACCAAAAGTTTATTTAAACATGAATTGGGTTGGTTCCAACAGGACATGGCTAGCTAACCAACTTAACTCGAATTTTAGCGGGTTGAGTTGGTAAATTAGGCCCATTTACATGTTGAGCTGCCCAACTTAATGAACTCGGGTCGAGTAGCAGAACCAACCCAACTCAACTCAATTTTGCCTAATTCTAACTGTTAGCACTAAATTATTAAATTAAACTTGTATTAAACATGCCAATGGGGTCTAGCTCAGTAGAGAATGGCCTTAACTTGCATATCATTGCTTATGGGAAAACATAAGCAATGATCTTCATCCTCTTCCTGCTCTTCATCACTATAAATACAAAATGAACTTGGGGGGTTGGCTCACTACCCTAACCAACTGGCCTATACCACATTGGCATAAAGATGCCATTTTTAAGTTACTTTTATATATGAAGCTAATTGAAACAATGGAAATACAAGAATTATATTTAATATGGAGGGAACCATCGGCTAGTTTTAATTTTGATGAATGTATTAATAATATTATTGATGGTGAGGCTGCTGTTACATGTTTCTTAATGAGAAACCATTCCGAAAATGCAATTTTAGCTGGCTCTTTTCCTATAGAAATGTCTCTAGTCTTGCAAGTTGAAATGTCTCTAGTCTTCATTGGATATAGTTAGATTACAATTTTAAAAGGTGTAAATATAAGGAGATTCAGAAATATTGAGTCAAACTTTTAAATTGGCGGCTGACGGGTTTGTTATGGCAATTAATATATATATATATGACTTACACAAAACAAAACAAAAAAACATTAACCCAAATCATGTTTCTGAAATTGCATTTTAATGAAATCAAATTACAAGAAACACAAATTATACTCACATAGTCATCATGATCGTAAATACAATTCAAAATACACACAAATCACATATTATATGTCATAAACTTGCTTGCCAGTGAACTTGACCTCAATTGGGTTAACATTCTTCCCAATAGACCTGAAGTTCACGCCAACCCCTTGGCGCCCTGGGTTCACCTTCTCAGGGTAAACTCCATCCTTTGGGTGCAAATATTGAACCTCCCCATTAGGGAACACCCTGTAAAACTGGTACTTGATCTTGTACTTTGACCTCAGCCTTGTCCCAAGAGCCAAGCACTGCTCTTTCCTGGCCAGCTTCAGCAAATTAGGGCCCTCCCTCATAATGGCTGCTCCTCCAGTTGGCATCTCAAAAATCTGCTCCTTTGGAGACTCCCATGTGATCACATAGAACTCTTCTTCCTGGGCTTTCCTCAACAGCCCTCCTGTGCTGCCACCAAAGATTGGTGATGGGGTTGTTGGGTCGAGTTCTGGTGGGGTGAAGCCCACTGGAGCCTCCTTTGGTGGGGCCACAGTTTTCTCTTCTGCTGCTGCATTGATCCTCATGGTTCTTGTGGTGGAGGAGAGCTTGAGTGGCTTTGGGGCCATGAAGGAGGAGGACACTGATTGCTTCCATGGGACAGTGGAGCGCTCAACGCTGGTCTTTGGGGCTGAGGGGGTTGGGGTGAAGAGGGTGGCTTGTGTTGCCATGGCCATGAGAGAGAGAGAGAGAGAGAGAGAGAGTTGTGGTGGTATAATTTTTGTTTTGGTTTATGGGGTTATGGAGGATTTTGGTTGGGGGAGAGTTTGAAGGATTTGATGTGGGTGGTGAGGATTTGGGTTTGGATAAGGTGATATGGGTTGGACCAATTAGGATCTGTGATTCTGATACGTTGGCTGACCTACCTGTGCCTCATTTTCATCTCTTTTGTTTCTTCTTTGCTTCTTTGCATATCTTATTTCTGGTCATCTTGTAAAATCCTTTGGGAGAAGCTAAATTGGGATTTCTATTTTGTCCTATGACTTTTCAATATTTTTTTTGGTCTTAAAATGATCCCCCATATTCATATTTTGTTTTAAATGAGTTTATTTGGATGTGTTGTTACATATGTGACACGACCTACGGTAATGAGCGTTGTGTGTTAGTTGGTGCACATATAGTTTTGATAAATTTACACACGCTATACTGTCTAGTCCAGTGAAAAATGACATTTATTTGTATATCGGTGGTCTCAAGTTCGAACTCCCATAATACCTTAGTAGTATGTGTGAGGAAGTAATTTAGACTATTGTTTATATTTTAAAAAATAATAATTACATATTAGTTCGATTTTGATCAATTATTTGCTCTTGTTTTATTATATTAATAACTTTATAAGATTTGAACTCAAGACTTTTTTTTAATAAAGTAGACTAATGCACTATTGTGATCTTTCATATTTTGAAAGATGAAGTAATTGAAAATTACATAGAATTCTAAAATGTCAAAATTTCATCATTTCAATTTATGGCAATTGAAGATTTTAGTGTTTGGATTTATGTATGTCGAATTTTGTAAATAACCAAATTTTATAAATGGCACCATGGAAATTGTGAAATGACGCCTATTTTGGTGGAAATTAAACTCGGGAATTTGATGCCCAATTTCCACGATTTTTTCCACGCATCATTTAATAAATTTCACGCTTAAGTTGACTAACATGGGAATTGTTAATTTCTCCTCTTATATTCCTGACTTTTAGCTAAATTTTGAGTTATTTTCCCTCATCCAAACGAAGGGTTAAGTTTATTTTTTTATTCGGATTTCATATTCAATTTAATAAACTTTAAAAAAAAAAAAAACTTATTTAGATTTTGATCATAAGATCCGTCACAAATTTAAATAAAAAATGGGCTTCGGATTTTGACCACCTCTAACTGGGCCAACTCATACCCACTAGGTCACAAGAAGCCATCACAAATTCACAATTCCCCCCAAGGCTACTATTCTCTCTATAGATATAGCAATTGCATCTGCCCCAGAGAAAAAGCTATGGCACTCGCGCATAATTGTCTTCTTCAGCAACATCATCATCCTTGTTGGTACAAGAAAAATGGTAAGCCATATGGCAAGTCAAGAAGGTTACACGTGGTACATGCAACCAATCAGTGAGTCACAGGAGAGGCTAAAGAGTCGAGACTGCAAAATCTTCTTCAATGTTGTGCAATTTACTTTGCAGATTGAGTAAGTTCTCTCTTTCATTTTATCTCTCATAATTGCTTGCTTGTTGTTACACTGAATGTAAGCTCGTTCTATGCAAATATGCAGATACTGTTTTGGCAAAAGAAAATGGTGCAGATATAGCTCCTGACTGACAGACAGTGTAGCAGACAAGCATCTTTTCAGGTTTTTGATTCGAACGATTCGTCTTCTCTTCTGTATGCAAATTAATAACAGTTTTTAGTGTTCTCATTTTTGTGTTCTTTTGTGTTCTGAGAATGACATATAATTCACACATGCACAACACCAATTCATTCATACCACTAAGATAGTATATACAATCTGCACAACCACTTTGGTAGAAGATTATGATAAAGAAAGAATATGACAAAGTACAAAAATCCTATCTGGTAATCTTTCACTATAGTTGCAAGACCATTTCACACTAGAATAATTATAACTGCTTCAAAAATATCCATCCATCTAGTAGTATGCAGATCAAAAAGTTCATATAGAGACACTGTTGGGAATTCCTCTCCCAGTGAGTCCACCCTCTCTCTTTGTGTCCGAGGTGCTAGGATACAGCAATGTATAAGGCACCTTGACAGGCCCAACTCTGTTCTTGTATTTCTCATCCTTGTTCCTTTTGTCAATTCTCTTTTCAATTTCCATCAGTGTCTCTCCGAATTTCTTAAATGCTGCTCGGGGCTTATCATCCGAAATCCACTCAGGATTATCTGTTTGCCCAAGATAAACCTCATCAGTTGAGTGTCGGGATAGAATCTCTATCAGAGATATACCAAGGAGAGTGTTGAATTGGGATGTAATTGTTTTGAGGAAGGCTAAGTCAGGGTTTGACTCAAGCTCAGCGTATTCATCAGTGCCTGCCTCGGGCATGAAACGGCGGCTTACAGTTGGGCGGTTAGGGAGGAAGCCAGCATAAGGATATTGCCCAAAATTAACAGCTGCATGGAGGGCAGAAGCCACCCATATGATTATGGTACATGATTGGATAAGTTCGTCTCTTGTTTGCATCTCAGGCCACCATGGCTCTTCCTTCTTGTCGCCATGGCCTTCATTGCGGAGCTCTGTCCACCATGACTGGAGTTCAGTATCACTGTGGACCTTATCGTCTGTTTTGTAGTAGCAAGAGCAATATTCAGTAACCCAAGTTTCAATAGCCGACCATATTTCTAGCCCATCAACAGCAAACGGGTAATCTTCAATCACAAGTCTTAAGCCCTGAAGGCCATTTGGGTCTGGAACTGCCATTCCTCTGAAATCAAACAGAAGTGGAAAGAAATTCAGTTTGATAGAAGTTGAAATCTATTAATTTGAATTCAGGCTTTCTGGCTCACCTCTTGAGCAAGTCAGCAGGTAATGCCTGCTCAGTGAATACCCAGTTTTTGTAAATGGCGGATGACATTTCCATGGAGAATTTAGCTGGGAAGACTGTTCTCTCAAGCACCCCACCAGCATTGATGAGGATGTGCCTTGCTAGGGCATTTATGTTCATCGTGTCCCGGAAGTGGGGTTGCAAGAGCTTATGTATTGGGTGAAGCACACTCAACTGTCTATTTGTTGCAATCACAAATGGCTCTATTACAGCATGGGTGTTTAACCTGCAAATAAAATTAGAAGCTTGTAAACTAGAACCAAGCTGCTAGCTGATGCTACAATACAGCACTTTCTTTGTTAGGCTTCATACCAGTGGCTGATAAGCTGATGATAGCCAGAATCATTTACAGCAACGTAAGCTTTGGCAAGCTGCCACACCGAATCCTCAATGCGTTTACTGCCCTTCGGTGCTGGAGTGAAAACTTTGCCATCAGCACCGTGATGGTCGCCTTGTGGATGTGGTAAGCTTAACTCAATTGCCAGAGGCTTCAATGTCCCGTCTTCTTTCAGGAAGAGGAGAGTTCTGGTGGCATAGGTCTTTGTGTTGGTTGAGTTTATTCGCCTCAGGTATGGCATTAATGCATCGTGATGATCTAATATGAATAGCCTGTTCCATTGCATCGCCTGTACAAAAATGGGCAGAAATGATTACTTATGTTACATGAATTTAATAAATATTGGATTATGATGGTTTAAACCGCAATGGTAGATTGCATGAAAATTGAGCATGATTAGTACTTGTTCAACAGTGAGGTCATCCATGTTCTTTTCTATGTGCTCTTCTCTTATTGAACTGTTCTGATTCCCATATACATCAGGGTCTAGCTTGCTGGTCGGGGGAAATTCCTGCCGATAGAATTTCAATGATTTATCGAACAACTTAACATAGCTGTATGATTATGATAGTCAAATGAATTAGTGAAACTTGTATCTTACTTGGAGGCGGGCAATGTTAACCGGGCTCACCCCTGCCAGCATTTCTCTTGCAAACTCTTCATCTGTCCTCCATGCAGATCTATCCTCTGCAATTATATCATGAAACCTTCGTAGTTTAGTGTATAAACATGTTTAAAAATCTAAGAATTTAGCTTATCTGAAACCAAGTCATATATAGGGGTAAAGACTTTTACATACTATTAATCACATCAGGCAATGGGAACTTGAGAAATCGCTCGCCATCTGAGCGAACTAGTTCCTTAAACAGCTCCCAAGGGATGCAGTCTCGTATTTTCTTCAGTGTTGGCCCATTTGGTAGCTCGATACATCCATCGTAGAGATTAAATACATCCTCAAAGGTGTCAAACTCATTGATAGTTTTATCACACAAAGATCTGAGCTCTGGAAGCAACACCTGAGCCAGGGATTTCAGGAAATAGGCAATAAAATCTGAAAACTTAACATGGCTAAACCGCTCATCTCTTGGAACATAGATGTTTAGATTTAGTAGTGCCAGTCTGCTCTCAGAATCGGGGTCTGTTACAAGCATAAAGAAAAATTGGTCATTGAGTATGAGTGTTTTAAGATATATGAGAACCATCCAATCATAAACAGTCCCTGTTCATATTCTATTTAGGTTCCTAACCAGTCTTAGTTGGTTTTCGCCCGGTTTTTCCTCTTCTTGGATATGGATACTGCGATCCACCAAGTACAGGGCGTGCATTTTCTGGACCGTCGTCTGGACTGCCCAGATCATTGTAGGTAGCATAGTCATACACTCTGTCCCACTCCTTCAGCTTGCGTGATCCACTCCCCCGGAGATTCTTGAGTTCTTCTTCCCTGTAAGGGAGTAATAGCTCAGGTGTTTGAGATGGCAGGTAGGCCTAACACAGAAAAATGAAGTTTTCTGTTAGTGCGTTCACATAAGTTCCTTAACCCAATTATAGCAAAACGTTGGTGTAAGTCTCATTTCTGCATTTCAATGAAGAAGAGAGAGACCAATTTTCTTTAACTTTTTGAAATTGTGGAATTATGGCCCCATAGAAAAAGCCATTGAATATAATTAACCACACGCACATCATAAGTTATAATGTTTTTATATACACAGAAGAAAACTCTACAATTAAAGAAATATGAAGCCAATCCAATAATGAAAAGACTTTCTACGCAAGTGCAAATCTAGCTGGAAAAGTGAATTAGAGAATGACTTTTCCACATTAAAAAGTTAATCATATATTGATGTTTCGATTTTTCCAGATAAAGTAAGTTTTAGCTTCCAATAAGTACGCTCGAAAGAAACAATCATAGCACATCTAACCACATGGGTCGGATAAGATATGATGCTAAAACCAATTCACCAAGTTATGAAAGAGATCAAAGCCTTGTTTTTTTTAATCAAAGACTGACAAAGCATGCTGCATGAGCTTCAACATTTTATAAAAAAATTAAATTTTTTAAAAATTACAACAAAAAAAAACATAAATGAACAATCTCTCCCAGATACATGTTACTTATGGAATTTATGTAAATCAAACTGAACTTACCTTGTTGGGGAAAAATATTCGATTATACTTGTAATACCGTGCCGGGTATACCCAGGAATTGCAGACGAAATGGAGTCGACCGTGCTCCGGAATGTTTTCTAATGTGATTGTCTTGAGGTAGAATTGGCTGTGGTGATGGTTTTTAACCAGCAAAGCTTCAGGAACTCCCATGGAGTTTTCCCAGTCCATGGAAATGGTGAAAGTAGTTTCTCCCGCCGTCGTTGATGTAATGGTTGAAACCCATTTCTCCAGGTATGCTACCTTTCCAAGCCTCCCTCTTTTTATCAACCCATTTTCTGCAAATGATTAAACATTTTTTGACCTTTGTCAAAATTGAAGTCATGGGTTGTTGAAAAAACTTGAACAAAAGAAGTTTAGCAAATGTTAGAGAAGCTGACCTGCAGGTTCAGGCTGGTTTTTACTGATGAGTTGCATGGAAACACCTTTGCCCAAGAGCTCAAAGATTCTATCAGTGAAAGAGGCTCTGATATCAGTGAAGTCCATTACATTCTTCTTCATCAACACCACTTCTCCTCTGATTTTACTGCTCCCTCCACTCACCGCCATATTGTTATTAATTGACTTCTCTTTGTTCTTCAGACAAAATGCTTCCATCACTTTCCCCATGAGAGAGCTCTCAGCAGTTGAAGAAGATCTGCAACTACAAATTGAGATACCCAATGCTCAACATGAATATTAATGCTATATATAAAGCCAAATTTGAGGAAGATGATGAGAATGTGAGCAAATTTTTGTATTGGTGCTCTCTGCTTTCATTGTGTTTATTATGGTTGTTAATAATTCTCTGCAATGTTGACTTGGAAGTGACAACTAATAGTGGGGTCCTGATGGAATTTACAAACTTTATCTCTTTATTAATAGATAATCAAAGAACAAGATTCGCTCTCGGCAAACCTAATTCACTATAATTTCTTTTTAATAAGTAAATATAATTGTAAAACGTATTTGATTTTTGTTTCTTCGGTAATACAATATATATGCATGTTGGTATATTTAATGTATTTTCTTTTTGGTCAGAATACATTTAATGAACTTTGTTCCTCGTGTGAATTATTTTAGTTCACATTAACATTCACACTAATCGTTGATTTAGGTCTGACATGCTCCGTTGGACTTGCAAAAACTATAATTATTTTTTTCTTTCTTTGTTTGATGATGCCCTGTTGATCGATGGATGCTTCCTAGGGGTCTTGTACTACGGTCTATATTATATACTAATTAAATTTATTTTTCTTTAAAAAGGTTGTTGATTTTTTGATTTAATAATATTATATGGGATGTGGGCTGTCGTCAAATGTTTATGCATTGATATTTGATATGAAGGGGCGGGTTGAGGGGTTTAATCTAGCCGTTCAATAATAACTCCCTTATTGTAATTCCTCGTTACAGTCTTCTCATTTAATTTGGCATTTTAATAATAACTCTTTAGTTATAATTCTTTAGTTATAATTCCTCATTACAGTCTCCTCATTACAATTTCTCTGGCTCATATGAGCGATGCTGTAATCAAGATGTAATCAACTACGTGGTCAGTTTAGGTATTCTGAAATTGCAAAGACACATATATAGAGATTGTTGTGTCTTTTTTATAAAAAAAATGTTGTAGCTTTTACACACATATATATATTGAATTTAGAAACAAGTGACAAGTGAGGATCAATTATACCAATTAGATCACGTGGAGTTAAAAGCATGCCTGTCTTTTGGTTGAGCAGTAAAAGTAATAATCATCTATCAACTCAGATACAAAACTTACCAAAAGGTTATGTTATGCTTGAAATTCGTCATGTCTGGTCCCATGATATGTTAATTAGGTGCGACCCCACAAAAGGGCAATGGCCACTTCTTGTCGTGCCTAGTCCACTTACATTTTACTGTAACACTCAATCGTGGAACGGAGCAAAGATTTTCATATTTTCATAATCAAGCGGCTTAATTTCTGTCTTTGAAAAGTTCTCGTATTGCATCCCTTTTTTTTATTCGATCAAAAAAAAAAATTTAATCTTTGAAAATCAAAAAGATTATTTTCTTGACAATCAAGCATAATTTGTTGACTGATTATTCTTCTTAAACCAAGTGTAGACATATCAATTATCAGTCTTTGACTTATGTGTTTATAATTTCACAAATCATCTTTTTTCATTTTAAAAATTAAAAAATATACGGTATTATAACTACATGATACATCTTGTACATGTGTTCATACGACTTCATGCACCTTTTATAAAGACGGATGCATGAATACAATTCAATAGTTTTTAACTGAAGTTTAGGGAGCTTTTTCATTTTCAAGATTTTGATAACTTTTTATATAATTTTGAATGAACTGTTTATCCTTCTACCTACCATTTGTCTTGCCGATAATGTAAGCAATAATATATATAATTATATTATGAACTTTATTAACCAATTTTCACCTTGTCAATGTAATTGACCAAATATTTAAAATAAAGTTACACAGTCAAAATGTAACGTATATACCAAATGTGATTATGAAGTTAGCAAAAGCGATAATTGTCAACAACAATAACTTGCCTCCGTGGAGTTGTTTTGTTCCCTCTTTTTCTTGTTGGCCATGGAAGGAAGGAATCAAATGCAAAGTAAGAAAAATGAAGAAACCTGAAAACCAATCAAATTTTGCCCCTCATCTCCTCCGACCGA